AAGACATGATTGGTAAACTTGGTTGGTTGGTTACAACCAATAAACCTAAAGAAATCTTTAAACTTCAGGTGTGAATAGATCGCATTGGGCACAGTGTGGACAGTGATACCTATGAAAATAAAAAGCTATGAAACACCAGAAGAAGACATGGGTGGAGTTAAAATTAATCCCAGAGCACAACAGCGCAATGTCTTTATCAGTTCTTTGAAAAACATAAAACTATGGTTACAGTTAAAGACTTTTATTAGGCTAATTTCATGGCATAAAAGGCAGCTTAAAGAATATTACGGTGGACGGGACAGCAAATCTTTCAGTTCAAATGTGAAACTGCATAGATAGAATCATTAAAGATAATCTGCATATGGTTTCTGTCAGGTGCTGGAAGTTGTAGATGGTTGTTTACTTTTTAACATGTTTTAAAGCGGGAGATCCACAGAGAATAGGAATCTTTTTTGCCAAACACCTGGCTAAGATAACAGGATTTTAACAGCCACCTGGCTGCAACGTGATGAACATTAAGTTACCTACAATCAGCACACAACAAAGTGCAGCAGCAAAAATTCATTCAAAACTGGATAATAGGCAACTGTAAAGTATAGATTCTATATTGAAGGGATGAGCTTTGGAGCACATAATTTGTGATGTCTTGGCAAACTGCCATTAAGGTGAGGAAGTTTCTATGCTTCAAATGAATTGGTTCATACAACATTTCTTCCAGCTACATCTAAAGGTAAAAATGTCTACAGCTGTTCTAAATGGCTACACTGAAAGGGACAGTGAAATGACAAACTCACTCAACTCAACGAATCGTACTAATCACAATAATGGCACAAACATTTAGACAGTTTCCCATGGAGGGCACTGATGTGTTACATTCGATTATACACACAGGAAAATAATGGAAGTAGAATTAAAAAAAAGCTTCCAGGATCACAATGCCCCCATCCACAGGACATGAGGGGTCACTGGATGGTTTGATTAGTATGAATGTGATGTGAATCATATGCTGTGGCCTTTACAGTCATCAGGTGTCAACCCAGTTCAACACCAAATAAGGAACTATCTTTTGGAAAAATGGTGTTCATGCCTCCAGTAGAGTTCAGAGACTTGAGAGTCAATGTAAAGGTGCACTGAAACTGTTCTGGTGGCACATGTTGGTGCAGCACCTCACAGAGAAACTGGGAGATATTTACTAAGGATTTTCAGCTCATTTTCTGGTGATAAACAGTGAATATGCAAGTGTTTTGTGGTGGAGAAACAGAAGAAAAGCAGTAGCGCAGGAATTTGTGCACTTGGTCTAAAGCAATATGTGTGTTATGGCGTTCCTGTTCAGGGATGCAAAAATAAGGAAAGAATGAGAATTTACAAATACTCTCTGCGCCTGACTTGCCAATGCTGTGACAGAGGGAACTGTGGCTGAAATTTTACATCAGGAGAAAGCAGGTCTAAAATTTGTAAGCCTGCTCTCAGAGTGGCAGCTGTTGGTGATCTGAGATCTCTTTGGATTTAAGAACACGTTTGAGGAGGAAGAGGATGTTTTTAAATCACATCGATCACCAGAGGAGAATGGGGGGAATGCTTATCAGGTCAAAACATGCAAGAAGTTGATTTGACTGGCAGGAGACTATGTTTCAAACCACTTTAAACTTTGACTTTCTTCTACATTTCCTCTCTGTCCAGTCATTTGCAATACAGGCAGGGGTGTATTCAAATGAACACAACTATGACTGTGCACATTTACACCATTGTTGGTAAATACACCACTAAAATAAAAAATTGCAGTGCTGCAATATTTTGCACATCTGTCGGTGGCTTGTGACAGGTTTAGTAAATATCCCCCTAAATGTTGGCTTATCCTTTCATTTGTCATCTGTCTGTATGAGCACGAAGTCAGTACTGGTTACTGACTATCCAGCCAACACAGGCTCGGTGTAATCAACAGTCAGGCCATCCAGCTCCTAAAGTGATTGCATGTTGTGTGCAGCAAATGCAGCATGCCAAAAAGGTGGGCTTCTTGGGTCCAACATTCATTTTCAACAGAAGGGCAGCAGCTGCATACAGAGAACACAAACCTTTCTTGTCTGTGCTGCTAGGGAGCTGCAAGGTGTCGATGCCCTTAGGGATCTCCTGGTTGGCAGTGTCCTTGGTGACCACTGAGCCTTTGAGCTTACTCTTCGGTGCATCCAGGGCTTTTAGCTTCTTGGCATGTTTGGTTCCCCTGTAGTGGGCCAAGGCCTGGCTCTGTGAGGAGAACAAATAACAGGCTCGATTTAACAGTGCTCAACACAGGGCTAGAATGAAATGAAATATGAGAATTAAGAGGTGCACAGTTGGAATTAATGAAACAGACTGAACATAATTAGCAGGAGACAGCTGATACGCCCAACAGTCCAACAAGAAGAGTTCATGTTTGAGCTTGTCTGCTAGTTTTTAGACAAAACAGCTTCTTCTATTATAAAATGAATAATACACCCAGGTAACAATGTTTCCATTAAAACCTCACTGAGACTGAAAATCGTTTTGTCCCGGTCAACACAAACACCAACATAAAAATGCAGTATTTTGGAATTTAAACTAATTAATTGTTGTAAAGCAATAAGCTACTTTAGAAGGCCTGGATGCTAGCTCATTTCTTTCATGTAAACAGAGTAAGAGGTTTGCCAAATCAGCCCATTATGTCAGTCATTTTCTTCCTTGTCCCAGCACCTGAATGGCTGTGGAGATTTTAAATTTGCCTGGCTATTCAGCCTGTAAACAGTGATAATGAAATGACCATTCAGTCTGAGTTTGTTGCTCATTTCTTTATTAATAATAATGCATGGATCTGATTCAACAGTAAATTTATGTGACCCATGATGTTTAATTTATGTATTGAGCACCCGATTTAAAGTCTGAACATGCAACAACACCCAGACTCACTTTCACAACAGATTCATCCAGGCACACAGAACTGAGACATATGCAAAGACTTTGAGCTGTCCTTGTTTACCTCTGCACACTTCCGAGAATACTCTGCCTGTGGCAGGATGGAAGGTATCAGGAGGAATGCAATTGCCTCTTGGAATAAATAAGTGTGCCAACCACACATCCCCAGAAGACGTTTGTAAGCATCTTTATTTATGGGCCACAGTGGGGATATTCACTAAAGACTGCTGGGACAAAGAGACCATTCTAGGTAATATCTCTGCATTACCATATGAGCAAAACATTGTTCCTGTTTATTTTTGCTCCTGTTCAGTAATTAGTGCCCATTGTTTAGTAGTACCAGTGCTATTAGTAATTGCAATACTACATAGCAAAGCTCTCATGGTAATTTGGTTTTGATGTATATCACTTCAACTGGTCTGATTTACTTTCAGTATTGACTTTGGATAATGACTTGACAAAATGTGCAAGAGCATGTGACAAGTTATTAGAATGAGAGAAGTTAAGAGGTTTCATTATACAAGGGGAATGAAGTTACCAGAAAAATCACAGTTCAATAATTTTGTGGGCAAAGGTCATAAAACTGCTGAACTGTCCTGAAATGTGTTTCTTTCTTACTAGAGACAATTTTTTTTCAGTGTTCAAACTATTCATTGTGAAGCACATTTATCACTCACCAGTTATCAAAGGTAGAACTTATTTGGCATGAGAATTGGATGATATGGATGGGTGAATAACGAGACTATAGCAATAATTCATCTTTAATTAGGGCAATGAAATGTAAAAATTGCCTGAACTTCAAGTCTGACATACGTGTGATTAAAACTAGTAAGAGAATCATTTGTTTTACTTCCAGGTGTTCTGTGAGGAGTAAGAGATGTCAACCAAACCAGAGATGCAGAGACTGAAAACAAAAAGGCCACAGTTTGATAATTACATAAAAAGCCTCCAGTTAATCCAAAATGCTGCAGCCAGAGTACTGGCAGGAAATAATGAGAGAGAGATCATATTTCTCCCATACAAAGCTTTTAACAAAGCCCTCCATCGTATCTTAAAGACCTCGTAGAGCCTTATCATCCTAACAGAGCACTTCGCTCTCAGAGTGCAGGTCTACTTGTGGTTCCTAGAGTCCACAGAGGTAGAATGGGAGGCAGAGCCTTTAGCTATCAAGCTCCTCTCCTGTGGAACCAGCTCCCAGTCTAGTTTATTGTTGTGTTTGTTGTGTCTTGTTGCTTTTTTTTTTCTTTTTGCTCTCCTCTATCCATTTAGCCCAACCGGTCGAGGCAGAAGGCAGCCCACCAAGAGCCGGGGTCTGTTTTTCCTCCCGGCTGTGGCCAAGTGATACTCAAGGGGGATTTGTTGGGTTTTCCTCAACAATAATAATAATAATAGTAAGGACTAGACCTTACTTTGTAAAGTATCCTGATGTGACTTTTGTTGAATTGAATTGAATCCCAGTGTATCCATCAGCAGAACATGAATAAGACAACCTCTTCGGGGGCACCTGAAGCCTGAATGTGACTGACATTGCACATTGGTTTGCAGAGCTCCTTTCCAACATAAATGTGCTCCTGTAACCATGTTGCATATTTTACTGTACATATTTATGTGTGTCCAGGCATAACATTGCCTGGACACAGGCAAATAAATAAACTGTTAAAATTACATTAAAAATAAAGTATTTAGATTCATTTGGTCTGGAAAATTTGCTACAGACCTTTGACATTTGCTGCTGTTCACTTTAAAATTACAGTTAATTATTAGCTATCAATTTCAGAGTTGGTAGTTAATGTAATGTAAGTAGATGCCTTGGTAAGGCAGGTGTGCAAACATTGCATTCTTTTTGTAGAGACTATTAAAGAACAGATACTGTATGTCAAATACCACACATAATGAATTTATCTCTGCGGTTTGAGTCCAAGATGTGAGAAGTTAGGAGAGACTTTTTTCCATAAATGTGGAAATTCCCTGAAAAAAAAAAACAGGAAAACTGAATTATAACATCAAAGCGACCATTGTTTTTGCTGAAAAAGGGGGGAAGTAGGGAAACTTTATCAAAACGGGGGGGATGCTGTTTTGGCTTCTAAGTTCCTAATTAACTCAGTGTGATTTAAGGAAGACTGTGAGCAAATTCTTCCATAAACAACAGAGTTTCTGGTGGTCAAAGTTCCTCAGAACAGACCAAAATGCTTACAGTGGGGGGATGTTTATAAGTGTTACTGCAATTTGTTTTTCACATGCTCAATTCCTGCTCCCACAAGACACCCAACAATTGTCAGTTTTATTTGAATATTAAATTAATAATGTCCAAAGTCCAACACTGACTTTATGGATAACAAACAAGCTTGGATCACTTTTATTTCAGGAGTAGTTTACTTTTTTATCTGTGGATTTTACTTGTTTTGTTATTTGAGGAGTTGGAGTTGTCCCACTTCTACTTGAAGTACTGTGTTTATGCACCATTTTTAGCCAGTCATAAATCTTTATGACCTAGATTCACAGAGTATATATTGAGTTGTGTAGCCAATAGCATCATAAAGGCAAGTTATGGAAGGGCGGTGCCTTAAAGCAGAGAATGTAGTGCAGATTCTGACGGTTGTTCTGAGATGAAGGTCGCTCTAGTTGTTACCAGAACATCACTGCTGCAGTCACCCAAAAACCCACCCAGCTATAGTCCTACTGTGACTATAGCTGGGTGAATAACTGAAACATGAGGTACAAAGATGACAATGTAAAACTAGAGTATTTGATTCAGCAAAGTCTGTTATCGTTGTTAAGTTATCTGGTACTTTAATTTAAATGTACTTCTACAAACATCTTGGGTCTTTCTCTGTCAGAGCTGTGAAAACTCATCTCAGCTGCCGCACATAATCATGGTCATATTTTAGATTTTTTCAATACTGTATTAATTCCTTAATGTTGGAGGATATTTTGTCTGTCATTATAAGAATGTTCTTTTCGACACTAAGCCAAACAGCAGGTGCGTCTGTCATTCACTGCTAAACTTTCCCTTTCTGTGTGAATCCTGACCTTTCCCACTTTACCGACGCTGATGACTTAATTGACAGATTTGATGACTTATCCCTCACAGCATCAGGTCGATTTGCTCCCATCAGGTCTACAAAGAACACAACTCCTCTCCCTGGATAAATAATGACTGTTGAAAAACTAATTCATGCTTTTGTGTTCTCACCTGTTTACAGAGAGAATGTCAGAAAGCTCAGTGTAGGTAGAGAAAGTCCAAACTGCAGGTTCATTACCTTCACACGAGGGATCTTCAAACCACATTTATTGTAATGCTAAGGTCAAAGATGCTAGAGCATCTTATTTTAATAGGCTTATTGACATCAAAACTTGGGAATAATACCAGGATTCTACTCTTTACATTTGGCTGCCTTTTAAAGCTGCCCCCCTCTGAAAGTTCTTCTTTCAGTATTGATTCTAAAGAGCTTTAAATTATTTTGCTGAGAAGTTAAATAACATCAGGACTTCAATCACAATTTCTTACACAGGGCCAAATACAGCACCCCCCTGCTGTCATTCTGTTGTAGTAAATCTGCTCACACCATCTCTTTGAACACTTTACTGGAGACTGGGTTGTATTTCCAGTCCATGTGAATACATTCCTGCCAGATTTTTTTAACAGGTTCTGGTTTCTGTCGGCTCACGGTTGCTGGTCATTGTCAGTGCATTTCTTGTCTCTGGCTAGGTCCCTAACTGTTTCAAGTTGGATAGTGTTCGGTCCCTTCTTTTTAAAATGACATTTTACCTCAAAAGATTCAATAAAGTAGTTGCCGACATTTAAAGAAGTAGTTCTTTTAACCCAAGCCCTGATATTTTCCTAAACCTAACCAAGTTGTTTCAAACCTGAATCTGACAAACTACTGTATAACTGTGTTGATGACAATGGTCCCATAAGCATGTCCCTGCAATGGTTGTGTGGGTCGTATTCAAAGGTAGGAACAAGCAGCATATGCTGTCGTTTAGGCTGGATGACTTGATGAATCCCTCTTTACAAAGGTAATAAAACCCACACGATAACTGCTGCTTTCCATCACCTTTGCTACTTCAGCAGAAACTGATAGATGTTATGATTTTTTTCCTCACATCCATTAGTCCATGTGACAAATCAAAACCTCACAGTAATAGCAAAATAGCAGCTAGTGGGAGAGCTCTTTCAATCTTTTGTCTGATTCACATTCGGGACCGACACCTACAGAAGGTTGAATAATGCATATCCTCTCCTTACTGCAGTTCAGTCCTCCTGTGACTCGTCTCTTTTCTGTGCCCTCTCAGCTATACAAGAAATTAAATTCAACACTCCACAGCCTGTTGCTAATGAAGACAAGAATTTTGTGTCTTCTAATGAAAATTTATATCAGTGTTCAATTTTTGTTTATATTACTCTTATATTGTATTTTCATTATCTCAGTATGCTGTTCTATGTTCATGTGCATACCGTGCATAAACAGATGTTTCATAATGTGAATTTATACCATAATAATATATGTTAATTACATAATATCACAGTTTGTTTTTAATAAATGTGTTGGAGTTGCTTATTTGGTATGAACTTAAATTCGCTACTTAACCTTTTATTTATTCTTTAGTGACTAATTTGCTACTGCCCACAAATCACTTTCAATACTATAATCCATCTGACCTAATTTTAATTCATAGGTCAAACTAAAAGGTTATTCAAATGCTTTTTAATGTTAATCAATTCAAAGGCTTAATTAAGCCACAATGGCGGTTCATACTAAAACAGCTGGGTTGTTTTTAACACTCTGCAAACACAGAACACACTTGCATGCATGCATGCTACATCTGGCTGATTACTGAGTGTGCTGTTGATGTACACGATTCTTCGACAATGCACTGAATCATTTCTGGAGTATATTTTGTATACTGCTAGAACAGTAGACTATGGTGATTAGTACTATACAGTAGTGTTACTACTGAATTAGTATGTAGCATACATCTGGCACAAAGCCATGGTTTAGTAGCATGTTAACATTTTCTAATTAGCACTAAACAGCATCTGAGCCTGATGGGAATGTCATTAGTTTTGCATTTGGTTGGATTATTATTATTATTGAAATAAGAAAGACAGCATGGCTGACACCAGAGCAAGTGAAGTGTGAAGGCTGTAAAGTGGTGGTAGGTCTTGTATTTCCTGTTCAGCTTTGGCACTTGGTACTTATGACTTCAGAAGAAAACTTGCTCACCTGAGAGTTGAACCTCAGCTGGCAAACACTGCAGGAGACATGCTTCCTCTTGGCGGTGGGAGGGAGGCCCAGGGTGTGATGGAGGACTGCTTTCTGCACCGGGTCCATCTGGAGGATGGAGAGAGACGCACAGAGAGGGTAATTAAAACAATGCTAAAGCTGACCTGTAAATCAGCTGCACTTGCCCGTTACTCACTGGGCTGTAAAGAGAAAACAGGTTGCCTGGAGCATGCAAACAGCCAGACATCCATTTTTTTTGCTTCAACAGCTGATTCTAACTCATAGATTAACAGAGATATCAAGAATTAATGCACCATTTGCTTATTTAAGGCATGCAGCATCATTCTTTTAGTGTAGTGATATTACTGTAATGCCTGTAGGCAAAACCCTTAAGTTAACACTGAAAGGACAAGCAGTTTGTTTTTATTACCATTAACAATTCTCTAGCAAATAAACAAACAATAAATTTTACTTACTAACTACTATCGTCTGTGTCATCCTAGCACTGCATATGTCTACGAAGTCAGTAGTCTCACTTTAACACTGTTAGAGGCATTTTTGTCTGAACATTTCCTCTGCAGACATTCACACACACACACAAACTGCAAAACTTTAATTTGCTTTGATAACTTGCCCTAAACAGAACTCATCTCACATGGATTTAGTTTTTTAAATATATATTTGGCATTTTCCTGAAATAATGCAAACCTGAAACTAATAAACATGTAAATTTTACATACATTAGTTTTTCAGCATGGGTACATAACCAAAAATAACCATGGTATAATGAGTTACTGCTGTAACCAGTTGTCTACTGTAAACCATTTTAAAGCCTCACCTGAGATTCTGTAGCTGTTTTCTTAAGATCTAACTTCTCTTCACTCAACCCAGAAACATCTACTTGCACAGGTGAAGCAAATTTTATTAACAATGACTCGTTACACCAGTTGTCCTACTAAGACAGTGGAACAAGCTCCCCTAATGCTGTCATTCTAAAGTTAAGAATTACACCTGCGTTTTTCCTGACATGTCTGCTGATAAAGGTCTGCTGGCCAGTGTGATTGAGCAGGCCATGGCAAACTGACTAATTTTACATATAAATCAAGGTTTCTCAAGAAAATAAATAAACTTGGCTGTAAATACGTGTTATGCCACTGTGGCTGAGGCCCCACCACAGGGCGCCCTGAGGCCCACTGGTTGAGAATGGCTGATATAAATATTCTTCGTGCTAATGCTATACATGTTACTGACAAAAATGATAAATGTTTCATCGATGTCGGGCAGAAACCCTGTAAGTTCATATTTTGTCATTTTTTTCCTAAATCAATGCTATTGATCACCCTTTACATCTGTCTGTGGGTTTTACAAACATTTAACCAATAAAAAGCATTAAGAAGGGCTTGCGACTAAATCTCATAACCTCACTGGATCCTACTGTCAGAACAGTTAGATCTGAGTTCAGGCAGTTTATTCAACTCACTCCTGTGCACGTGCATTATCGCCTGTTTTCATCATTCAGTGTCAGCCCTTCATAGACCAGTAAAAATAAACATGCATGAGAAGAGAGGAACAACAGCAACAGGGGTCAGTGAAGAGTTGAGGACATTTCACATTTGTTGTGCCTTTTTGGAGAAGTTCTGATCAAGCCAATATGGAAGAATAGACAAAATAAATGAATAAATAAAGAATAAATTGTGCAAGCTGTCAAACAAATGGCATCAGTGTCCTAATTCTTGTACACACACAGCTCACTTTTAAGTTAAATCTGCATACAGGTGGCAGTTAAGGAAAATGTTTGTGCTGTTTAAAAT